TGTGTAGAGTCAGCCATGTCATCGGGACCTGATAACCTCCCTCATTCCACACATAACAATTCTGTTACAGCTTCTAAGATTGTACTAGCTGTTCTGGTGGCCATTTTATATTGCTTTCATGTAAAGCTCAATGTAGACTGAAATCCCCCAAACTTTTTCACTCAGGTTGATTCTAACCCATGTTTTCTATGACTAGCCCTTGAAAAATGGTTTTTAGCATCTTTAGTCTGGGACTTAATATTTAACTCTGTAAAAATTCATTTAAATTCAGCTTAACTCTCTAACCTATCTGCACTGGTTAGTGGTTACTGAGTACAGGTTAAGATCATAGACTTTGGAGTCAGGCAAACCTGGATCCTGCTAAATCTAACTGCACTTATTAGTTGTTGGACCTTCAGCAAGTTGCTTATTCACTTCAAAGAAAAGACTAGCCTTTGACTGGTTCCTGAGAGAGAATCTCTGAGCCCTAGGCATATTCTGCCTGATGAGAATGTTCCAGTATGTCTGAGGCCTTGGGCTACGCTGTATCAGTTAGATAAGATAGTTTATACTAACAAGATGACTTATGGTGAACATCTATTTTCGCGTGCCTGAGGAGGCCTTAGGCCACCTGGTATCCATTTGACATCTGGGGGTTGGAAACTAAGTAGCTATGGTCAGTCATGCTGGAGTTATAAGCCCAATAAAAACCCTGGACACCAAGGGTCAGGTGAGCTTCCCTGATTGGCAACAATTCACACATGTTGTCACATTTCATTACTGGAAAAATTAAGCACTGTCCTTGGGACTCCACTAAGAGGATAATTGGAAGCCTATGCCTGGTTTATCTTGGCACCTTCGTCCCATATACTTTTTCCTTTCATGATTTTAATCTGTACCCTTTTATGTAATAACCTGTAACCACGAGTATCGATCACATCTTTTCTGAATTCTGTGAGTCCTTCTAGCAAACCCTGTCTGAGGTTTGGTCTTGGGGACCCCAACACATCCAATGCTTGCTCTATGTTAGCTATATACCCTTAGTCAAATGACCTCATCTCCTTTAGTTTCATTTTCCTCAATTGAAAATAGGGATGACGATGATGCTAATGATAATAATGATAATAATAATAATAAATGGTAATAGTAAATAATAATAATGGCTACCATGTGGTGAAATTCCAGCACCCAGCCTAGCCTTCATTTTCTCCACAAGTATAACTTGAATTCTTAGCAATTCTAGAAAGTAAAGTGCCAGCACACAGCATATTTATATTCAACAAAAGAGTTCCTGTAAGCAATCTCTTTTGCAAGTTCTCACATCTCCCCTCTCCTCCGACCTCAAGATATAATTTTTAGACTAGGAGATCTAACCTCGATTAGGACAGAGATGTCCTCTTCTAATATTTTCACCTCTCACTGACATCATTCTCCTCTTATCAATTGCTTACTATTCCCATTTTCATCCAAAAATCATTCTCCTTGGTAGAAAAGTCAGGCAAAGCAAGAGCTTTGCTTGGGCATTGCTATCCTATTGGCCTCAGGCAGTAAATCGATCTCTTTCTTGATCATCTTTAAAAGTTCTTTTTTATTTTCTTTTAATATCTCTGGAATTTTTTTTCCGTCTTCCCAGAGGATTTTAGCTTTTCTGGCTTTATTCCTACATGTCTGTGATACTTTCTAGTATTTGTCTTTTATTATCTATCCTTTCTTCAAAAAATCTTTGCTTAATTTAAAAATTTACTTTATTGCTACTATTTTTCCTAATTATAAAAGAAATATATGATCAAATTTAAACATTAAAATATTTATATCCTAGAAAGTAAACTTTATTAGAAGCCCACCTCTATTGAAACCATAATATATTTCTTTTAACTACATCAGCTCACAGCAGAGTTCCATATTCAACCAACCATTAGTTTCTTTAATTATCTTCCCTATTAAGATAATTCCTTTTTTGAGAGTTTTCCAGCTCTCTCAAATTTCATGCAGTGAAACATGCTCATCATTTCTCCAAATTTAAAAAATACATATATCTTTCTCAAGTATAGATTTGAGCATCCCCAACTTTCTCTTATTGGTTATCAAAAACAACTTTTTTGTGCTTCAGTTTTAAAATGAGAAACTTAGACTATATGGTTTATAAGTTTATATCTATAAGCACTATGAGTTCTATGATTCTATCATTTATAAGAAGTTGTATAGATGAGCAACAAGTGGAAAATTAGTAAAGAATAACTTTCCCAAGCATACATGCCTATGACAAGGATTAAATAAGTGCCCCAGGAATGCAACCATGGGAGGACCCAGTGGCAAATCTGGAATAACACCTGAAAGTCTTATTGATTTTTGAGTCTTGTTAATTAACAACCCTTGAGGGCACATGAGTAGTTGAGGACAGCATGGCAGTTGGTCTAGAAAGTTGGAGTCTTATTACATACCATAAGGTAATTTTATTCTCTCTTTCCCTCAGTTCTATACATAAAATGAGATAAAAGCATTTGAGACCACATGAGGTAAGCGACCCTTGGAATCTACATCTATTATTTTATGTGTTCGGCACTCTACTTCTCTGAGAACTGGCATTAACTCCCCTCTATCTACATAGTTTCTGCTGGAGCTTCCATGTTTGTTCATTCATTTATTCAACTGCTATTTATTGAGTGCTATACCTGACACTATTCCAGGCCCTGGAGATATAGCAATGGGTGAAACATACAAAGATTCCTCATGGAGCTCACATTCTGATGGAGGAAATATGTCAGTGAACAAAATAAGTAAATATTTGGTATGTCAGATAAAATATGCTTTGGAGAAAAATCAAGCAGGAAAGTGAGCAAGGAGAGTACTGTGGTTGAGGGATAAAATGAATGAAGTGCTATGTTCTGTAGGTGGCCGGAATTTTTTTAGAATTGGATCAAAACAGAATGGTTTAAACAAAAAATGTGGAATGAGGAGTAGGAAAAAAAGCCTGTTAAAATTAAAACAGAAGAATGAAGACTATATAAGAGAGTAGCATGAAAGGCAGATGTGGGGAGAGAGAGAAAATCAAAGACAGAGAGAACTTCCCAGGTTTGCATAGTATTCCAGTATACTTCTGATAAATCATATTTTAAAAATCTTTCTGATAAATCCTAAGTTGGTATGAATGAGTTTCTGTCATTCGCAAACAAAGAATCCTAACTCATACATGTATTAAGTAATACAACTTATAAATTCAAGGCTTACCCAAGGTAGGAGCTGTTGGTTAACTTGGAAAATTAAAGCTTGGTGCTTCTGATGCCAAGAACACAGACATAATAGCAGAGTAGAATTAATTTTGCTGTTCTCTAGCATTCCAGAAATAAAATGTGCAAAAAATATCCATTTTTTTGTTTGTTTTCTTTTCATTAAATTAATGCTGATTCTGCACTGGGCTTGTGGAAAATTCAAATAAAAGCATTATTTCTCACACCTAGTTATGCTCTCTGTCCACTGCCCCCACCCCAGAGTCCAACAGAATTAGGGAAGCTTACTGATGTCTAGACAACTGGGAAAAGGCTCTCTAATCTCCAAGTCATCACTGTTTAAGTTTATTTGAAACTTTGTCTTAAAGTCCCTGGTTCTCTGCTTGTATGGCAAGAAGAAAGCACAGAAATCTCTGTTGAGGCTAAAGAATGCTTTGTTCTTTAGGGTACAGCCATCCTATCTGAAGTCATGCCATTGGAAAAGCAGGCTCAAGTATCCACTGATCATGGGACCTGTCAATCTTTTAGTTTCTCTCTCCTTATTCTCAAATTCATTCTTTTCTCTCCTATCCTCCACGGTACCCTCATGCATGTTTTCAGTTAGCTTAGGCTTTTCGTAATTGACCACAAGAGTAAGTAACTTCCTTCTAGGAATTTCTGCATTCCACCATGAAAACCAATCAACCCCCAATGATTTTTTTGGGCCTTTCTTTTTGTGGTATAGTATGCATAACATACAAATTCCCATTTTGACCATTTTTAAGTGTCTAGCTCTGTGGCATTAAGTACATTTGCATTGTTGTGCACCCCAAAGGCTTAATTAGAGTCTAGTAATCTGATTGAAATGAGGGTGAAATATAGGAAGAAATAAAGTCTTTAAAACATTGCTCTGTCATGTATTTGTTGAATGAATGGGGCGAGTTCAAATGAGATCCCACAATTGGTGATTCTGAGCAGCTAAGTGGCATCATCAGGATACTAGATATTAATGTTCAAGAGGATGGTGAGGAGAAAGGGTGGTTGTAAGGAAATTTGAAGAAACAATGAAGACAAACTTTGTCTCACAATATTCATACCATTTAATGTATCTTGAGCAAAAGCAAAATGAAGAATTTTTCCATATTCTGCCAATGCTCCTGGATTCTGTTGAGGAGTGAATAACTTCTAGAGGGGCCTCAAATAGTGAGTAGTTTAATTTTATGAATTGCAGTAATGCTTTTTGATGTCTGAGCAATGCGTTATAATGGGAAGCAATTCACATACAAGTTAGTACTAAAAATCTTACAATTATTAAGAATTATACATGGGTTGTGCGGTTGTGGGGTAGACAGAGGTGCATGAGGTGTATCAAAACAAACCCAGCACTGGCTGGGCCTAGAAGTTTCTCTTGGGAACCTGAAGAACTTGTCCATTTAGTCATTCCCAAATAGTTATTTAAGCACCTACTATGTGTGAAGCACTAACAGACAATACAGCAGCGAACAGGTAAATAAGTTCCTTACCCTAATACAGCTTACATTCGGGTGTATTTTAATTCTGAACCGTGAATCCAAAAGCACAATAAATTGAATGAAGCAGTGAACCAAGGGAAGCATGGTTCTTCCCCAGCCGCAGTAAAAGTCAGAATTTTAAATTTTCTATTCTTGGATGCTGGGTCTTCTTAGTTCTGGAAGAGAGTAGGGACAGGCGGCATGTGAAGAGATTTCTCGCCGAAAATATACATAGACTTGGTGTTAGGGTTGTGCAACTCTAAATTACACCTCTGGCACCGAACTAACATCACCTAAGAAACAGATAAGATTATAGAATTGCTACTTACTCCATCAGAGCCCTCAGGAGACACAGCCACCTCTCAGCCAGCACAGGAAGGCTATGGACTACAATCCCCACAAGCCCTTGCGACCGCATTCTCACCCCGTCCGCCCAGCTTCGAAGTCTGGGAAAGATGAAGGGATGCCGGGCGCCCTCTTGTTGCGTCATGAGCATGCGACTCTGGGATACAAAACAAGTCTGGGGTCCAGAAGCATGGCAGCTGCTGAGGCGGCGGTGCTGTCGTCATCTTTAGAAACAGACACAGCCCCAGTCCCTGAAACCGCAGGAACAGCTGCAGCCACGGCTGCCACCCCGCCAGTGTCGGCTGCAGCCGCGGCGGTCGCGGCGGCCGCACGGACCAGATGCGAAGCCAGGGGCTCCAAGGCCGCTCTGGCTACTAAGCTCCTGTCCCTGAGCGGCGTGTTCGCAGTGCACAAGCCCAAAGGGCCCACTTCAGCCGAGCTGCTGAATCGGCTGAAGGAGAAGCTGCTGGCAGGTACTGCAGCCCGGGTGGGGACCAGGCTGAAGCGGTCACCGCGTGAGCGGAAGCCGTGGAGAGAGCGCTGGGTTGATTGCGCGCTCAGGACTCGAGCGATAAAAAGAAGGGAAAGGGAGAATAACCCCTGAATTGGATCTGGACAGAAATCTCGGGCTTCGACTTGCCCTGACGTGAACTCCTGTAACCTAGTCTGCACTTGTCGCTCTCAAGGGGACAAAACAAAATAACCCGCGCGTACACACATTAACCTGTGCTGTTGGGCTTGCAGACCAATTTTCTGTAATCGGACTCCTCAAGAACCTTTTTTTTTCTTTTGGTTCACGTAGGTGAACTCTACCCAAAGGAAACACTGACTCTACCCCCCAAAGTTGCATTTTTAAAAATATGTTGAAAATGCAGCTATTACTTTGTTAACCAAAACTTAAGATAGTGGTTTTCACACAGTGGGCATGAGAATTCCTTAGAGTCTTATACAAATGTAGCTTTCTAGTCCCTGCCCTCCCAGAGACTGTGATTCTGAGGGTCAGGTATTTTTAGGAAACTGTATTTTTAAATTTGCTCCAGGTGATTCTGGTGTAAGTAGTCTATAGACCTCATTTTGAGAAACACTAAATAGAACTTGGTCACTTCTCTAAGCGTTCTTTTTGTTTGTTTCTTCATATACACTGGGAGATCGTTTCAGACAGTGGCATCAAGGAACCTTAGTTATGTTGGACACCTACAATAATCCAGGTCTGTGCTAGCATATAGAGATGTGAAGATGAAAGATGGCATCGCTTCCCTTAACTGAGCTGGTAACCTAGTAATTTCTGCAGTCTTTGGTGGTAAAACTTGCTAGAAATTTAAAGCCTTGAGAGTTTGGCCATGGCCTGTCTTTCCATTAAACCAATAAAAAATTTATAAAGTCTGTCAGGAATACTTTAAATTTTTTAATGAAAACTTTACATTTTTTAATGAAAAACTATTTCAATAAGAATTTATTAAAATTTACACAATACGGATTAAAATGTTTAATAGCAATAGATACACTCTTGCAGATGTTTAATTCCAGTGTTATATCTACTCATTCTTTTGTTAAACTTTCCTTATATATGTGTTACCTGTAGGGATAGGTGGTACAGGGCTTGCTGAAAGAAGGAATTGCATCAAGGACAAGTTTTGTGGGGTCTTCATAGCGTTTCCTTCACGGAATTGCTGCTTTCGGGCCTGATTTGTTAGCTACCCTGTGGCTTTTTTGATCCTCAAGGTAATGATTACCATTCTTTCTCTTATGTTTCTCATAGGATCAAAGCCATATCCTGGCCTTCTGGTTAATCAGCCTCCAAGAGCTGAAGTTTCTTCTTGAAACTTCATCCGATTGTTTCAGGGCTATTGCTGGGCCAACTTCTGGAAGCTGGTCACTCAGATATAGACATTCTCACTACTCTCCATTTCTATCTTGCTTGCGATTGGCCTATTCTCTGTTTATATTAGCCAGACCAGGGCTTCCCAAATGCCTTTCTGACTGGTTGTTGTAATTACCTGGGAAGGTTCTTAAAGATACAGATTACAGGGCACCACATTCTAGTACCAGCCAGGTTTGACAACCCCAGTCAATGGTCATGGCCTCTATGTATTAACATTCTTCGACTCTCCTTACATTGATTCATGTCACACTAAAATCCCTCCTCTTCTTTATCTGTTTGAATCCTTCAAGGTCTGAAACATTACAGAATTTTAGAGCTAGAAAAGACCTTAATAATTTATCCATGCATGGAACCAGTGGGGTGAACCAAGCCCCAATATAGTAGAGATGATGTATCTTCACACTTGAAAGAGGTAAATTTGGATCCAAAGGGAAGACAGTAAATTTATAATGTCAAGTTGAAAATACAAAGAGAGTTCCCCAAAAGGTTTTTATAAATTCAAGGGCGAGAGATCCATAATGGGCTGCAAGTGAAAGGAGAGGGGTTTGAAGCCTAGCCACGGCCTTATAGGTTTATATTAAAGAAGGTTGACTGAGCCCTTCTAAGCGTGGTGATGTCATCCTCAGAGAGAGCACTAGGACGGTGTTCTAGACACCACGGTTCTCTCTCAGTAGGTGGTAATTATGTGATGAGGCTGAGCAGCGCAGCACATTTTTGGCGGGGAGGAGGCATTTAGGCTGGTTTTTCCTCTATTACTTTGCTTTCCCCCTTGTCCTTTCTCTGTCCTCTCTGTTTTCTTTTGCTCCATTTTCTATCTTCTCTGTGTCAGTGGCGGTAAGGAAGTTTTGATGGGCTTGGGCAGTATAGATCAATACAGCTGTTCCTACTCCTCTCCTTTCTCGTTTGAAGTCCAGTAGCCAGTGTTCTCTGAATGTATTGTTATATACAGTAACAATAACAGTAGCAATAGCAGTAACAAGAACTTATTGTTATAGTGTTTTGTCATTTCCAAAACACTTCCAGATTGCATTATTTCACTATATTTTTACGATGGAAATGTGAGATAGGTCAGGTTGGCATCCTCTTTTTTTTTTTTTCCTTTTTTTTTTTAATCTATGTCCCTTGAAGGTTAGGAGGCACCCTAAAAGATTACTTCTCACATAAACTTTTGTTGAGATTAATTTCTTTAAGGAATTGAGAGTTTTGATTAGGAGAGGAGGACAATGAATACGGAGAGTTTGGGAACTTAGTGTTCTTAGAAGTAGCTCTGTGTGAGATGTATTCCCACCATTAGGTAGCTGAGGGTACTGGAAAAGAATGCCAGGGAACAAAATGGATTTAGAAATGAAATTGAGGACTTTTAAAACTAGTTGCTTATATGAAAACTAACTTTTCATCATTCTCTATCAAACAGCCTACTACTACCAGCAGCTTACTAGATCTTTGTGGGTTAGCCTATATATTTACCCACTTTTTTTAAATGGTTTTTTTTTCCCCTGGGAAAATGAATTCTAGTTTCTAGACCATTAATTTTGGAGTACTATTTCTTTGTTATTTAGGGAGTGGCTATACTTTTAAAAATCTGTTCTTTGCTAGTAATGATGTCATAATCTTAATATGTTAAGTTTGTACAATACTTTTTGTTTGTTTTGAATATTCTGTCTATCCTCCCTCCACCATATTCATGGAGATCTTACTTCACTCATCTTGGTAATTACCTTTTTTCATCCCAATTACTCTCTTAGAAGCTGGAATGCCTTCTCCAGAATGGACCAAGCGGAAAAAGCAGACTTTGAAAATTGGGCATGGAGGGACTCTAGACAGCGCAGCCCGAGGAGTTCTGGGTAAGAAATATGAATAGAAGTTTAGAGTAACTTTCACTTAATATCAGAAAGAAATATTGATTGAGAACAGATGAGATAAAGATAAGATGAAACCATGCCCTTTTCAGTGTACTTTGGAATATTTCAGATCTGGATTTATAGTGCCATCTTCTAAGGAAGCCCTTAAATGGTAAGAGGTATACAAGGCTGTTAGAAGTTGTCTCTTTTATGTATGGATAGGGCTTTGAAAAAAGGTTTGTATCTGTACAGAAAAGAGTTAACATAGCAGGCCCCAAATCACTATCTTTAAGAAGCCTGCTAACAAGGCTTGCCCTTGGCTGGCATCTAGGAACTTGGATTTTGGGGGTGTTCCCAGTCTTCTGTATCTGATAAGGGTGGTTTGCTGTGCCTCAACTGTGTGAACAGTTTTTGTTTGTGCTGAACACCCGCTTTCCTTCTTGAAGTCTGGAACTTTGTCCTACCACGCAGGCAGAGAGTGCCTAAGTGACCATCCCCCATAAGAAAACATTCAGGTGCTGAGTTTCTAATGGCTTCCTCGAGCAGGAAGATTACGCACATGTTACTGCTTTTTTCATTGTTAGAGAAAGGAGCGTGCTCCAGTGTCTCACCTCCCCATCGGAGGGAGAGAGGATAAGCAAACCTATGCATGGATTTCTCCAGTGTTTTTTTTTTTTCCTGTGATTCAGCTATGTAACTTTACTACGTCATTGTAGTAAACCTGAGTTGTATGAATCTTTCAACATTGAGTGGTCTTGGGGATTCTTTTGCGGGGGCGTGGGGGACTCTTTTTCTGTGATTTTTTTTTTTTTTTTTTTTGCCTATGTGGAATCTAATCTCTGAGATCAGCTCTCTTGAAAAGGTGAATCTTATAGTTCCTGAGAAGAAGTCACTTTCTCTTGGAGACATATTAGTTGAGTGTTTTATTGCTTACAGAGGAAATTTGGTAAAATTGATTGAGGGGAGAAAAGTCATTTATCCTTTTTTATTTTGGCATCTGGTAGAGGTACTAAAATCTGTCTTTATGAATTGCTAAAGTGTGTATCAACAGGCTAGGGATGTTGTACAAACTTTTTCTGTTACTACATTCATTGTCACAGAAATATATACATGGGAATTCCCCTCCTCCCCGCCTCCCCACATACTAGAAACAAACTTTGATGGAACACTACTTTCCTTTTTACATGCTCTGATATTTCATATCTTATTCTATTTCATTTTTTAAAATGCTGGTCATAATCTACTAAATTGATTTCATGATGCACTAATGGGTTGTGACTCATGGTTTATAACTGCTACAGTATCCAATCCATTTGATTAGAGCTAAAATTAGATAAAAACAAACAATGAACTTGATCCAAGTGATCTAAAAGAAATGACTACTTATTTAGGAAAAAAGGATACATTTTTCAAGAAATTAGAAACAAAGTATGAATTTGCATTTTCTAAAATTATAGATATGTTTAAATTCCTGTTGACAAAAGTATCTTTACATAAGGTAGAAAACACAAGGAAATCCATTTTCCTAAATTAGAGAATTTGAATATGCAAATTCTGACAATTTAATATTACTGTTTCTTACCATAACTAATGATATCCATTGTATAGCACTTACTATGTGCTTACAACATTCATAAATTATATACTTTAATCCCTATTATAAACCTATAGTGTAGGTATCATTATCCCTATTTTACAAAAAGAATGAAGACCCCAGAGATTAAATAATAACATACGCATTGTCATAGTTAGTGAATGTCAAAGTCAGGATTTGAACCCAGGTCTGCTCGGTTCCAAAGCTTCTATCTTAATTTGGGATGGCAAATACCTGGCACTCCTGCCTATGTTCTCCCCATCCCCATTACAGAAATTACCAGTCACAGCATTTTTTGCCGTTGGTCCTAGTTGTGGCTTTACAATTCCTATCAGTTTGGAACTCCTCGATTTGAAGCCTCTTTGCCGTAACCATTCTCTTCTGCTGTTTTCCAAGGTACAGCACCATGAGTACAAAAAGAGCGAGGATAAGATCTGCTGCCTATTTGTGAATAGAACAATCGTATTAATTTCTGGTGCTTGTTAATTAGTATGTAAAAAATACTGATATTTGAGCAGTGAATGAAATAAATTTATTTTTTTACCCTAAACCTGAGGGATCTTGTCAAAACTTCCATTTTAGTATTACAAAGGGGTGGCATTTGGCTGAGATTTGTATGAGTGGGAGAGATTATATTGGAAATAATTTTTCATTTGGAAGCTTAATTTATATTTAAACACACAGGGACTTTTATGATGATATACGTTCATATGTCAAATTTATGAATTTTTCTTCTAAAACTGATAAAGAATAAAGTTTCCAATAAGGAATAAAGTAAAAACAAAAAAAAGAGTAGGTAGTCAGTCACAAAATAAGGGATATTTGGTCAAAGTTAGCAGTTCTAGAGACTGCTAAGAGTTGATTTTTGTTGCATGGTGAAGTAAACACTGAGCTCTAATCATATATGAATTTGTGTTCTGGCTGCTTTATTTATTAACTACACACACCTTGGGCAAATCCCAAAACCTCTATGAATCTTAGTTTATCTCTTAAAAAGGGGTAGTATGTACTATAACTCTCAGAAGGTTTATTAAAATATCTATAATATAGAGACATATACTGTAATCTGTGACATTCTTTATAAAGGTCTTTAAAAAAAACGATGTGTGAAAAAATGTACTTTTACTTTCAATATTTTAAACTGTTTTTGCTGTTTTTTTCTTTGTAATATTAAGGGTACAAACTTAAGAATTTAGCTGGCAATTGACGATATCTGAAATTCAGGTTTATAATTCTATTAATCTATTATATATGTAATGTATAGATATATACATGTATTGTGTGTGTGTGTGTGTGTGTGTGTGTGTGTGTGTGTGTGTGTATCTCCTAAATAATTCTCTAAAGAGGGCTTATAAAATTCTCAGAAATCCTGTGTTAGACAGAATAATGGCTCCCTAAAGATATCCACATCCTAATCTCTGGAACCTACAGATACTTAAGGGTACATCACAAAGGGGAGTTAAAGTTGTAGATAGAATTAATGTTGCTAATCAGCTGACTTAAAGAGATTCTCCTGGAATACCTAAGTGGGCCCAGTATAATCACAAATAGTCTTTTAAAGTGAAAGAGGAGACAGGAAAGAGAGATGTGGTAAAGGAAGCAGAGGTTGGAGTGATTGGATTGCTGTGGAGTAAGGAAAGGAGTCACAAACCAAGGACTGTGAGCACTTTCTAGAAGCTGGAAAAGGCAAGGAAGCTCCCCTAGGAAGGCTCTAGAGAAAGGCTCTCTCCTCGAGCTTCCGGAAAAGAATACAGCCATGCTGATACCTGGATTTTTAGCATAGTAAAACCCATCTCAGAATTCTGACCTCCAGAATTGTAGGAGAATAAGTTTATTGTTTTACCACTATGTTGGCAAACTAATACACCTATTTATTATAAATCACTTAAACTGGAAACCAAGTTTCTATTTACCACTTTAAAAATTATGATTTTTTAACTTTAATATTTATAAAATTATGGTAGAACAATTAGGAAATACAAAAAAACAAAGTTGAAAATTAAAATTAATGATTTTTCCTCTTTTAGCACTAATTATTGTTAACATTTTTGCCATATTTCCTCCTAGCTTTTTGTCTATGCAAATTTTAGAAGTCGAGTTGTTTTACTATTTTACTGTATGTAAACTTGTGTCCTGTTTTTGTCACTTACATAATATCACATTTTATCATGTTAATTAAAAAAGTTTGTAAACATTTATTTTACTTTATTGATGAATAATTGACAAATATAAGTGTATATATTTAAAGAGTTGAAATCATATCAAGTATTCTCCAACCACAGTGGTATGAAACTAAAAATCAGTAATAGGTGGAAACCTGGAAAATTCACACATCTGTGGAAATTAAACAGCATGCTTCTGCACAACCAGTGGATCAAAGAAGAAATCAAAGAGAAATCAAAAAATACCTGAGACAAATGAAAATGGAAGCACAACATACCAAAACTTATGGGATGCAGCAAAAGCAGTTCTGAAAGGGAAGTAGACATTTTTAATAGCAACATAATGTGCTGTCGTATAAGTAAAATACAATATATTTAACCATTCCCTATTTGAAGTCATTGAAATTATCAGTTTTGTTAGTAGTGCTGGCAACATTTTTTGAGCACTTGTGATTTCCCTTGTCTGTATTTTATTTTCCCTATGAGATTATAAGCATTTTCAAAGTCGAGAAATATGCTGTTCCATTAAAAGTATGGAGTAAAATTGAATGGAATCAAATTGCATTGAATCTTTGTTGTTATTATTATATAAAGTTTTTTGCCTCACAATAGCAGCTACCGTTTGAAGAGGATACTGAAGGCAGACAGTTTTTTATCTTAGTCCTTAAACTAACATGACTCTATCATAGAAGCTTAGATTTGGGATAGATTTACGAAGGAGTTGGGATTCGAGCTGGGTTTCAGCAAGTGGACTTTGAATACTTTACGAAGGAACTGGCACTGTAGGCCTTTTGGCGCTATTGAAGATTGTCGGAGGGCTTTGTAGTGTACAATATAGGTTTTCAGAAGTGGTTATCAAATGGCATGATTTTGGAGAGGAAGGGGTAGAATGTGGAAAAGTCGGGTTTGCAGTGGTTTAGGCGGATAGGCTGGTGGCAGTAAGCAAGGTGGCAAGGAGAACGAAAAGGGAAGGGGTCTGTGTCTCAGTTTTAACTACTAGTGAGATGCTGGGCAAAGTTCTTAGCCTCTCTATGCTTCAATTTTTCATCTGTAAAGTAGGGATAATTATCTTTTAGGGTTGTTATAAGGATTAAATGAGCTAATGAATGGAAAGCATTTAGAGTGGAATTTGACACATAGTAAACTCAGGGAGTGTTGTCTGCTATAAATATTCATGATAACTCAGCTTGCCAATCGTTTCTCCTTGTTTCCTCTTGTAATTCTGAATTGTGGTTATATGTGTCCTTTTATAAAATTTTATACATTGATGAGAAATACCTCAATTCTTAGAAAAATTTGCTTGCTGTATAGTGAAGAAATTATTACGTGCTCTCATCCCCACCTGGTGAAATGTGTTTTCACAGGGTAAATAATGTTTGACGTTGAAGAGACAGTTGGGTCATTGTACTTTATATACCGTCTGTGTGAACATACATTCTCCAGGCTTTCATTTACCCTGTATTCTTCTTTGTGTTGGGTTGATCTGTTATGTTTCTGTTTTGTTGATCGTATACTGCTGGGCACTAATCATCTTTAAATGGTTCATTAGCTGTGATGATGGCTTATGATGGCTTTTGCTTTGTTTAATAATGAACTCTCTCAAAAGACTTTATCATACCATGGTTAATTGTACATGTACTTTTCACTGATGCCCATATAAAATTCTAGTGAATCCTTTGAGATTTTTCTAAAATTTTTTTATTACCTAATCGACTAGGTCGAGGTTTCTACCATGTTTTAGTCTTTGAGAAAGAAAAAAAGTCTCTCTCCCATCCCCTCCTCAGAATTTCTTAGTGGCATGACAGGTTTAACTGATGGAATAATGGGAGCCCTAAAATCATGCTAAATATATGTGCTTTCCAATTTTACATTACATATGCCAGGATATTATGACCAAAATATGTAGATATTTTAAAAACCTACTTTTCAGAATAGAGTGTCCTAATATTTCTTTCTTTGATTTGTAGTGGTTGGAATTGGAAGGGGAACAAAAATGTTGACCAGTATGTTGTCAGGGTCCAAGGTAAGATTACTGACATAGTTCTGCTTTTTTTCTTGAATGTTTTTCTTAATGACCATGTTTTAGATTTTCTCAGTTAAAAAAATAACCTATATAAATTGCATGAATGAATATCAGTCCTGAGTGTTAATCACAATGTCTGTAATAATGATATCTGAGAATCAGAATATTGAGACTATAAGAAAAAAATTTGACTTATAGAAGCAAAAACTGAGGTGCCCATAACTTTTTAAAAATTATATTTAGTTTTTTATGTAATTATATTTCTTAGATGAAAAGGAACTTATAGATCATCCATTCTGTTAGCAGATTTTTTTAAACCTTGGAATTTTTATAGAAACAATACCATTTTGTAAACCATGCACTTTCAACAACAACAACAAAAAAACAGTGGTTACAAATTTTGCTAAAGTAAAGAATTGGGCTTCTTTAAATGATGAGTTACATCATTCATCTATAAGGGTAGCCTTGACTGAATTCAAAGGCACTTTTAGAGATGCTGGAAAAGAGAAAGGAGGGGGTCATACAGAAACGGGAGGGCTTACACCTAGATCCCTTCAGGCATTCAGTGAGTAACCCTCGTGAGGAAGAGGGTGGAAGGAACACTGAAACAAGATGTCAAAGTGGTTAACCTTTCTGGGCCTCTCAGTTTTTCCTTAGGAAAAGTGATTTGATCCTCTCTAGGGTCTCTTCCAGCTCTAAAAGAAATAATAACATCTGTATTCTAATTAGTAACTGGGTTATAATAGTTGGGGCTAGGGGCCGGTGAAAATGCCTATGGGAGGAAGATTAATATGCCATTAAGTAGAGAAGAATTTCAGCACGTCCCTGGGCTAAACTTTTTGTTTTAAAACCCTTGCTCAAATGGAATGAATATACTTGTTATAGTGATTTCTGTCTAAATTGTTTCTTTTTTAAAAAATGTAGTCAAAGACCATTTTAAAAGTTTTTCAATTCATTGCAGATCAATTGATGACTTCTGTAAAATGTTATGACAGCATCAAATTTCTGAAAAACTTTTAAACATCCTCATTTTCTGAACTTATCTTGTCATGAATACTGTCCCTTGGACCACATTCTGAGTGACAGTGGTCTAAGTAAGCTTTTCTTAAAATAAAAAGCCCCAGAAGGCACAGTGTCTTTGACATCACATTTTGGTTAACTGGCCTAAAACCTGTGTCTTTCAGTTGGAAAGGATCCTGATGCCTTAGATAAATGGAAAAGTTTCAGTGTTGCAGTCTTCAGAATGTTGGTGTTGAAAAATTACAGAATACAAAAATTGTATTTGGATGAGTTTGACTTTTATTTTAAATTTGTACATTGTGCTTAAATACTGACACACACAGTTAGAATTGCTTTCTGAAACATGATATTTGCCAGTTGCTTAATATTGTTTCTTAACTCCAAAATATAAGCAATGGTAATTTTGATATAGGATTATGGATGATTTTTGTTTTCTTTTTAAACATTATTTGGTATTTTCCAAAATCTTTACAATAAATCAATGACTTTTTATAATAACAAAAAAGATATAGTTACATTAAGGAATTTGTTTGGATTTTCCCAAGATAAAACATGCTGGGTTCATTGGATTATTTACTATTCACCCCTTCACCCCCAACCACAAATACATAAAACACATTGTATATTATTGAAAGGTTTTACATGTAAATTCCAAGCATATTTCTAGAAATATGATGACTGAAAATGTAAATACATCATTGGCTCTGACTTAAGCTTTATCATAAATCATTTTGGTATTTAGCTAAGAAAGCTGAATGTCACACAGTGAAATCACTAACGTCTTAAATAGAAAATCTCAGGCACATCTTATTTCAGAAACCTAGTTCTTGGATGCTTCACATTTCAAAAATAAGATTATTATCTCATTAGTTATTTGTATTGTCTATACTTTTAGTTTTAGATTATGTATTTGTTGAAAAATTCATTTAAATTTTAGTTTTAACTATGTTGAAGATTACATTTTTATCAAAAGTAGTTAAAACTGCTAATGAATTTTTAAAAATAGATATTGTTTTTAGCATTGGAAGAAATCTTAGAGATTTTCTTATCTAGTGGCTTTTAAAACTTGACCAAAACCCGTAGTAAGAAATTCATTTTATATCATGACCCTGTATACACATACATGTTTAAAAATCAAAAATTTTATCAAACAACTCTAACAACATAATCTTGATATTTTTCCTTCTATTTCATTAAAAAATGAATTGATGCCTGCAGCCTACTAACTGGACACAGACCTACCATTTGACTTAATGTTTACTCTTTCTCTACGTCCTACTTTTAGAGGTGATTTTTCATTTGCATCACAGAAAATTAGATTTATATGTGTAGGGTAGGGTTACTGCAAGAGCAGAAATGTTTACTTCTAGGATGGCAGATATTTGATATTCATGTTACAGCCATTCGCTCTTCCCTCATTACAGCCCTAATTAGAGATGTTGCTAATTAAACATGGCCTAACACTTTCCTATTGAACCAATGAACATCCTTAGAATCCTGTTCATCATAATGCTGCTTTATACAACCACTATCAATTAATGGGTGCAGTGCTGACCGTTTCAATAAAATCTTTAGGCTAATAGATTATTTTGCTTCCTTTTGAAGACCAGAGATTATTCATGCCACTCAACTCCTTTTTCACATTCTTTTCCATTCAGATCAGAGTAAGATTTAAGAGGAGAGGCTTTCCTTGTCTTCTTCATTAGCTTTCTCTCTTGTAGAAGGAAAGCTTTGCCCTGCCAGTGATCACATTTCTCTTATCATTAGCTTTTTTTCACTGTATTCTGTTTTGGTAAATGTACAGTGTCTCTAAAAAAAACGTAGGTTTTCTGTACAGTGCCTTGTGTACAGGAGTTGCCCAATAAACGCTGTTATTACTCTTCCTAAGTATTTCGCCTATCCTCAAATCTCTTCTGAGTTTGAGTCCTGTTGGATCTCTCTACATGTTCCATAGACACCTGACATTTATTTTATCCAAATCTTGAATACAGCTCATTTCATTCCTATCTGTGATTTCTGGTGGCCTACGCATAGCATGGCACTCATAAGAAAGAGGGAGCATGCCAGTTTTTTAAAGGAGAGACAGTTTCTCATTAAAATCAGAAGGAAATTCCTTATAGTAAGGAGTATTGAATGATAGATGGTGGTTCTCAAAAGTAATTTTACAACAGATGGAGATCTATATGCAATATAACTTGAGTAAAATGATTCTGAGAGAAGTTAGACTAATGTGTCCTTTTGACCTAACTTGATCTAAGTATGGAATGTAGATTACCTGAAAGGCAGCAATGGATGCATAGCCCCTCTACTCTCTTCTCTGAATTATACTTTCTGGGAGCCAGTCATTGAGCAGAAGCTGGGTAGCAGATGTACTTTGAAGTAACAGATTTTGATGAGGTTTTGGAATATTTATCAGCTGTCTATATTGCTGATTAAAGTTGGTTACTTATGTATACTTTAGGAACCTGATGAGCAGATGGAAGGGTCAGTGTTAGATTATGAAATCACTGATGCCATATGAAGACTGTAACTAGCGTTTTCCAGATATAAGGCTACTCTACTATATCCAGATATACCATAGTAGTACCTGAAGGTAAAACCAACATTTCCCCAGAGAGCAGCTTCGTATCCCCTCCAATAGTTGAACAAATGTTATCGTTTGGGGTATACAGACTTCCGCCCTGGATGTGCTCCCAGGACAGTAACCTTTTTATATAGTATACAGTCCATAGTAACATTTTTAGGGTAACCGGTCAGTGCCAACTCTGAAGTGTGACTTTAATGCTCCTGTGAAACTTAGCCAACTCTCTAAGATTTGAGCATTTCTAATCCACTTTCTCCAGAGGTTAGTCCAATTTCTGTCTTTTCTTTATACTCAGCTAATATTCATACATTTCATAAGTGTTATATTGAAAAATTCGAAGGGCTCACACTTATGAATTGTACAAAGCTACTCCTTTTTAATGACATTCGAAGCCACACAGTTTTGATATAGTAGGTTCTTTAAAAAAATGTTCTTCCTCGTTAAAAATAATATCCCTTTGTTTGATTATGAAACTTTGAATCACAAGCTTTCAAAATCAAACTTTGGAAAAAGCGGTTGCCTAGTGGAGATGGACATGACTATGTACACTTTCTGTAATACAAACATTTTTCTTTCTCCTGAATAGTACAGAACTAATTTGCTTTTAAAGTTATCTAGTTAATATCTGCTTTGGGGTTCAAGGAGCTTGAAGATAATGAAGTAGGGAGTAGATTAATATCAGTATCATTGAGAAACCTGAAGAGCACACAGTTCGATGGCAACTTCCTTAAAAATTCTATGGGACTTCCGTTTATTTTGCTATAGTGGAATTTTGTTGTAATGAATACATTAATAGAATTCATAATTCCCAGATATACATAATGGAGAATAAACAAGTCTAAAACCCTATCTCTGTGTAGAATGTAAACCAGTGAAAAATACTTGAGACCCATAAGATAAAATGATAGGGTTGCGAATGTGCATTCCTATGTCTTTTTTCTTCTTGGTGGTGACGCTTTGTTTCAGCTGAAGGCTTAAGTGTCTAGATGGATTTTCCTAAATAGTTTGTGGGTCATTCAACTGAATTGAAAGATAATTATTGCTAGATGCCAAGGCAAAGGAAAACTAGAAATCAGCTTTGATTTATGTCAGTAATTCACAAAGTATGGTCCAGAGACTCCTGAGGCTGTTTCAGGGGGTCCGTTGAAGTCCAAACTGTTCTTATAGCTTTGCCTTTTTTACCTGCAATCTTACAAGAACACAGTGGAGTTTTTCAGAGATTACCTGATCAGCAATGATATGGCTCTGATGGCTAAAGGAATGTGTCCATGTATATGAGTGTTTTAAACATTTTTCAGTTTTAATTTCTAATGCAATAAATGTTGACAGAACCCATATTTAAAAATTGTGCCAGGGTCTCTCAGTAACTTTCAACTGTGTATAGGGGTTCTGAAACCACAGTGTTTGAGAACTGCTGGTTTAGGTATTATTTCCTCTATAAAGAATCCAGCATGTAGCCAGATTCAGCATAGCTGCAGAATCTGGAATGATTTGTAACTTGGCAGGTACAATCTGGAAGTCCAAAACTGTGGTGAAAATTTGAAAAATCGCACACATAGTAACTTCTTCAGCATGTAGATGGAACTTTGAGTAAGGAACGATAGAACAACAACGCAAAATCTAAAGTAGCAGTTTATAATTTGGGAAGATACAAATCAATATACAAAATGTACATGGAAAACAATGAACATCTGTGTGAATTTGATATAGGCCTTCATTCTTTTTATGTGAGAAACTTGAACACCTGCTCTTAGCTATGCTGTGGGGATGGGTGGTTGGGAGTTGGGGTGGATTAATGGGAAAGCTTTGAGAAATGAACAGATTTGAGCCTCAGAGAAGAGGGAGCTCAAGGCCGGGGAAGTACTGTGTGCCAATGTTTGGGACATCCACAGTGCAGAGACTAGAATGAGCATTCATACTTGGAAAGCATTTTAATGTTCCTAGTTAAAACTCGTTACATAGCAGAATAGTGCAGATGCATTCAAGGCACAGTATGCTACATGACTGCATTGTATTTTTCTTATGGAATTAGACAGATTATTAAGACAAATCTGAGAGAGCATTTTGTCAGTTTACTGTTCCTTATGGAAACTCACAGGAACCAGATGAGTCACTCTAAGCGCTGTTAACTGTGAATCATTTTTTTAAATAATAGTAACGATAATAGTATTGTTTTCCATTGCTTATCAGGGCCAGGTACTGTTGTTCTAACTCTGCTTCTTTTCAGGAGGTACTGTTATTATCCCCATTTTAAGATAAAGGAAGCGAGGCTCCAGCAGGAAAGACTAACTTAACCTACTTTACCAGTTGTGGTGGAGTGAGGATTCAAACCTTTGAGCCTGTGCTCTTCCCACTCACCCTGCTGTGCTTCTCCCTGTGGTACGCTTCACCAAGGTTCATTGTTCCAAAATGCAGAAGCAGGAGTGGGGCATTTCAGGTGATGAGACTGAATGTTTAGTTACAAGAAGCTAGTTTTTGTCAATTTAATGAAAAAATTTAAAAGTTAAATCGAATGCATTGGAACATTTTCTTCTGTATTGTATTTGTTAAAAAAAAAAAAAAAATTCTGAGCTGTATCATAGAAGATGATTTCATTAAAGGGCACCAAAGCTGGCATAAAATGTCTGCTTGCTTATGATAATTTGAAGTTTTAATTTTTTAAATTTTTGTCTCTGGTCCTTTTACTAGCATAATAAGCTTCTCATTAATAAACTCATATTTGAGCTTCCTCTTTGCTCACATAGCTACAGATTATTTTTAGTGGGAATTGTATTCCTTGTATTTTTCTCACTATTTCTTGTGATATTCCAAATAAAATTTGAATTTGACCAAATGAGAGGAGTATAAAGAATATGTAGTACAGTGTGCCCTAAGATGAGAAACGAAACAATCCTAAGTTAACTAAGAATGATCTAATTTTTACTTGTGAATAATGATCAGTTCTTAGAAGTGACATTTTTCTTTTCAGAGACCTACATATTTAGCTTTCATTTAAATGCATAATCAACTTATAAAGATTAGTTTTAGTATTTCACATGAGAAGTTGTAAATTGATTTAATTTAAAATTAATTTTAATTATATGTGTGGTAAAATTGTTGAATCTTATGATGATTGCGTAGGGGTTTATTGTACCATTCTCTCTACTCATAAATATATTTAATTTTTTCCTTCAAAATCAACATTGGCTTTAGAAATTTGTTTGCAATAACATTATGCTTATAAGCCTTAATTATCAATAAAATCAGGCTTGTCTTTATCACGTTGGATGGTATGGGAAGTTTGTGAATGTTCTTCAATTTATACGTTGCTTCCCATATATCAAAAACTAACAAAGCACTTGCAGTCTATCATTTTTGCCCTTATTTTGTATCAAGTTGGTAGTATTAGTAAAATTCTGTATGAACTTCAAGACGTGGTTAACAGTTTTTCTTTACCTTATGGCCTATATTCCTCGTTTCTCTTCCTCTAGAGGTATATTGCCATCGGAGAACTGGGGAAAGCTACTGACACGCTAGATTCTACAGGGAAAGTAACAGAAGAAAAACCTTATGGTATGAAGTTCACCTAATATACTCCTCTTTTTTAACATTTAGAGAACGCTTCTGGGAATTCAGAATTTTAAAATCTCTTACTTGATATTACCAATGACTTTAGTTTTCAGTGTATTTCTTTACATTAATAAGATTGGAAATGGTTTATCACATTGTTGTTTATTTGATATGAATTTGTTAATAAAGATTTATTATAATTGCCTCTTTTCGTATAGTCAGTTTTTTTAGTGTTTAGAATTCTTCCAAATAATTCCCTTACCAAAAAATATTTGCGGCTAGGATTTAGGGCATTTTTCCTCATAAATGAGAAACAAAGTAGAGAGACTCTCTTGTTAGATTTTTACCTGTAGCTTGCCATTGTTTGTTTGTTTATTTTACAATTACTTCTTAGCTATTGAAATAAATGTACCAGGTTTAGTGTTTCAAAACTAATCACATTTCTTTGCTTTTGGAGTATGTAAAGAGATACGACAAAGGGAAAGCTATTTCTCTGGAAGTAAAACAGAACTTACTAGGGCCCATCTTAATTTTTCTACTGTTCCTTTTGTCACTACTTTAAGAAAGGATAGATAAATGAAATGGTTTCCTAGCAACTCTCACAGTACTCATGCTATTTATAATTCAGCAGTTGCATTTTTGTGCAGTCAGTTCACCTACATTATTATGTCATCGCCTGGGAATTATTTGTAAGCTTTCTGGGTTTTTTTGTTTGTTTGTTTGTTTGTTTTTGCCTGTGTTTAATGTCATCTCTTCTTAATTCATACTCTAACCTATTATGGGCAATTCAGCATCTGGCTTCCCTGAGTTTTGTGCTGAGTGCCCTTGCTATGTATTTCATATTGCCCCTGTATTGAGACCAGTCTTTTCCTTGTTCATAGTAGCTTTACTTGACCTGTTAATATGAATTTATATGTAGCCTAATATCTTACTTGATTAATCAAGCAACATACTCAAAAGAAAAAAATCACCGATTTATTTTATCTTTTATTTTAAAAATAGATGTTGAATTATCCTTGAAATTATTATTATAGCATACCCTCACTTAATGGAAACCCAACCCTAATCTTTAGCCAAAAGGTTTTTAAGTTTAAAGAGACACTGCGCAATAGGACAATATCACACTTCCAGAGTATGCTAAAGTATATGCCAGTGCGTACACGATCAGAAGTGGGCGAAGAAGTGAAATTGGTGAGACTTGCCGATGGGGTTGGGTAGGGAGGGAGAGGAGCTTGTCAACCATGACCTAGGTTTTTGGGTTTTAAAGCTGGTTGCGTGAAGATAGACTTCATTGAGTAGAGGGTGCTAGATAGAAGAGGACAAGGGTGACGAAAATACTTAAACATACGTTTTCTTCCTACCCTTAAGCATTTTGGAATTTTAAAAAACTACTCTGTATTGTGTAATTTGTAACCTTATTTATCTTAAAGAAAGCTTAATTTGTTAAAATCACCTCACTAACATGTTGTTTATTGAATAGTATTTGTAGTCTCAGAAAATGAGAGCTCAGAGAATTTTGCTAATTGACATGATTTTTCCATGTGATTTTAGTAAATCAGCAAATGTTTATTGTCTGTTTAAGCTTCTGTAACAGGTACCAAGAGGAGTATAAGTATAAAACCTAGCCTGTGGCCTTAAGGAACTTCTGTCTAATGGAGAGCTAGGACCTAGGTTCTCAACCCTCTGAGACCTAATGCTGAGACCTATAACCAATAGTTTGTAATGCCTTCTTTACTATCCTGAAATAAAATTCAGAGATACTCTAACCTATGTGCACATTTAAAAACTATATAATACAGTAAATGGAATATGAAGAATAAATAAAAGTAATTTATGATAAAAAGGTACATTGATATGTAAATGCACAGATATTACTACTCTAAAAGTCTTAATGAAATAGATGTTTACACTTACACATAAATCATTGTGAATGACACAAATACAAAAGCAGACTGATATTGGTGTGTTGTTTTGGTGACAATTCAGTATATGAAAAACAATACAAAAACACTTTGTGTTTAAATGGAAAATGGAGTTAAGTTCTAGCCTCTACTGATTATAAACAAGCTTTTCACCCACATAAATATCTGGCAGACATCTAAAAGTCATGTAATACATAGTACAATTCATTGTGCTACACCATCCTGCAAATTGTAGGCTATCTAGCATCCCCGGTCCTTACCTATTAATTGCCACTGATGTTGTCACCCAACCCTATCATTGTAACAGTAAAAAATGCAGTTCTTAATTTACCTGTTGGGACCAACGGACATGGATAAAGTAAGGCAGTATGCAGTAAGTGGCAAATGAATGCTCTTAAGCCATTTTTGTCCTATCTAGACAAGTACTATTTTTATCCATTGTTTCAGATAGCTGGAAGTTCAGGAGTAAAAAACTGAGTGTCTAGCTCAGTAGACCCAAGTTCAAACCATATTACTAGAGCTCTTTCCTTTATTCTCTTTCATAACACCTTCTATTATTTTTAAGTAGTGTTTTTCACCATTTATAAATATATATTTGCATGTTAATTCCTAAACTGTGGGGCTGGGGCTGACACCATGTCTCTTTTGGTCCTCACTGTATTCTTGATGTCTAGAACAGTGTGTGGCATGTAGAATAAAACATTTAGTGTATGAATAAATAAGACAGGTGATAGAGGCATTCACAAAGAAGATGACTACCAGTTGCACAGGAAAGGCAAAGCATCTTCCTACCTTCTCCTGTTTTCTCATCCACATCTAGGTAGTGAGACTCAAGTACAAGCTAGTGTCTCTGAGGACGCATGTCTTCATCGTAGTCCTCTGTTCTCCACTGAGCTCGGGACCTTAGGGCCAAGCTTCTAGAAAGCCTAACCGCTCTGAGATGGGAATAGATTCTCCTCTCTTGTGGCTTTTTTAGTGAGAGGCAAAAAACATAAAAGGAAAGTAATATCTCGTGCTAATCTTTTGTTCTAAACACCACCCCACCCCTTAGTCCCAAGACAGGGTGTTACCAAGGTCTTCTCAGGTGATGGAGCTAATGTTAATGGAAATGGCTCCTCTTGGACCATGGTTTGACTGCCCACACCCCCTGGAGGAAGCTGAAGAGCTGAACTGGGTCTCAAATTGTGAGTTAAATGAGTAGGGCCCACTGTAGTACGGCTAGTGCATGGTTGTGTCTCAGTCATCCTGTGGTGCCTTTTGTTGCCTTTTCTTTGTATTTAAACCTTTTTATTACAAAGTATTACATTAACAAAGAAAAGTGCAGAAGATATAAATTTATAGCTCCGTGAACTATATCACAAAGCGAACATCCATGCAGCTACTGTCTAGTCAGGAATTAGAAGATTCCTAGAAACCGTTCTCATGCTCCATTCCAGTCGCTACTCCAAAGATTACTATTTTAACTTCCACCACTATGGTGATAGTGCTAAAACAATAGTGTAGTTTTGCCTCCTTTTGAACTTGCTATAAATGGAGTTAAATAATATGGATTCATGTCTGGATTTGTGAGATTCATCTACTTTGTTACATGTGTCAGTATTTTGGACTTTTTTTTTTTGTCACTGTGTATCATGCCACTTCACAAATGTGTGAAAAAATACATATGTATATATGATATGTGTGTATATATATGTGTGTGTATGTATACACACACACACACACACACATTCTTCTGTTGATAGACTTTTGGGATGATAGACTTTATGAATGGAACTTGTATGTGTGTTTTGTACATGTCGTTTGGTAGATCATTTCTCTTGGATACAGTATACCCAAGTGGAATAGCTGAGTCATAGGGTAAGTGTGTATTTTACTATACTAGGAATCAACAGTTCTCAAAGTATTTATCTAATGTTTGCATTTCTACCAGCAATAAATAAGTGTTCCATTTGCTTTACATCCTTGGCAACACATGGTAATAACACTGTTTTTAATTTTGTCCATTCTGGTAAATGTGTAGTGGTTCTAAATTGATTACTGAGATTTAGCACTTTATGACATGTTTTTGGCTCTTTAGTCATCTTCTTTTGTGTATTGACCAGGTCTTTTTTTTTTGCGTTTTAAAAACTATATTGATTAGTATAAGATCTTTACTCTAGATAGGTGCTCTTCTTTTGGTCATATGTGTTGTAAATATTGTCTCCTACTCTGTGGCTTGTCTTTTAACTCTTAATTGTATCTTTGGAAAACAGAAGTTCTTAGTTTTAATTTAGTCCAGTTTATCAAATCTTTTCCTTTATGGTTAGTCCTTTTGGTACCCTGTTTTAAATAACCTTTCCTACCCCAAAAGCATGAAGATATTTTGTTATATTCTTTATTCTTTAGAAGCTTTATTGCTTTGCTTTCAAATTACATCTACAATCTACCATTTTTTTTTTGTATATGGCTCTCCAGTGGGCCCAGCACTTTTCCCCACCGCACTGCCTCCTAGGTCATAGGTCAAGTACCATGTAGGCCTGGGTCTGTTTGGAATCTGTTTTGTTTCATTGGTCTGTGTGTCTGTTGTTCTATTAATACCAAACTATATTTATTGCTATAGTTTTAGAATAAGTCTTAATATCTGAAAGAGCAAGTCTTCTTACCTTATTTCTTATAGGTTTATAGTTTTTTTTATACCTTTCTTATCAAAGAAGTCACCGTCTATTCCTAATTTGCTGTTGTTTTTTCCCTTAATCATGAGCAGACATTGAATTGTATCAGATATTCTATATGTATTGATTTTTCTCCTTATTCAAATATGAAATTAATATTCCATTTCTGGAATAAGCCCAAATTGATTATGATATGTTATCTTTTATATAAATTATTGGATTTTGTTTGCTGATATTTAGTGTAGGATTTTTGCGTCTTTTGTGAGCGAAATTAGCCTGAATTTTTCCTTTCTCTTAGTGTCCTTGACTGATTTTGATATCAAAGTTGTACTGACCTTATAAAGTGGGTTGGGAAGTATTCTCTATTTTTTTTCTGTTCTCTGGAAAAATTGTGCCAGATTTGCATTATTTCTTTTTCTATTGTTTGGTGTAATTTACTGGTAGACATTCGGAGTTTTCTTTGTTAGGAAGATTTTTAATCATGGATTAGATTTCTTTACTATAGAACTTAATGTGTTTTTTTTTTAATTTATTGTGTCGTTATTGATAATTTTCCCCCGTGAATTTGTTCATTTCATCTAAATTTTTAAACTTACTGGTATAAAGTTGTCCATTAAATTCTTTTATGACCTTTTGACTTTGAAATACTATCAAACTTAGAGGATAAGTTGCAAAAATAGAGACTTATTTTTCATTGTTTTCAGTATACATATCCTTCTTTTTACAGTAATCAGGTCTTTCACTTCTTTTGATGCTTATAATAGCATCATAAATTGGATTTATAAAATATTCCATTTCTGATAGTTCATTGCTAGTATATAGAAGTGGATTTGATTTTTGTATATTGGTCTTATGTCTTTCAACAGTGCAAAACTCACTTGTTAATTCTAGTCGCTTTTGTGTTGATTTCTTGTTAGGGTGGGTCTGAAGTAGACTGTTTTCCAGGTCTCAATTAGCCTTATTCCTACCACATGGCTTTTCTGGAGTCTCTGTCGTGTATGCCTCAGGTATTCAGCAGAGTTTTTTCATTCCGAATGGTTGAAATTCAAACATCTTTCAGCCTTGTACGAGCTTTGGTAGCAGTCTTTAATTTTGTGGTGACTCACTGTATATACACGCAGCTTGGAATTTAGGTAATGTCTCAAGTGGACCCCTATAGACCTCCCTCTATGTAGTTCTCTCAAGTCCCAGCTGCTGCTGCTTCCTCAAAGTCTGATTTCTGTTCAGTGAGATCACAGTGCTTTGTTTGGGATGCCCCGCCCTGTACCACAGTCCAGAAAGCACCTCCAAGCCCAAGCACGTGATTGTGGGCCTTGCCTTGTTTCTTTCTCTTCTTTCAGGGATTACAGTGCTTGTAGCCTGTTGTCTAATGTTTGAAAACAGTTGTTTATTATATATTTTTTTCCCAATTACACAGCTGCTTATGATGGCAGACCTTGTCCAATAACAGTTATTCTATTGTGGTCAAGTATTGTTTTTAATTCCATCATGTTGCTTTTACTTCATAGGTTAGTTAAGGAACAACTATCATGTTCTCAGTTCATTGGAAGAGTCAAAAATTTTAAACAGATAACGTGTAACATGATCTCGTATATATTTTATGAGAATGACTTTAAAAAATTAATTTCAAATGAATACCATCTCATTGGTTTATTAATTTGATAAACAAAGAATAATTACCCAAATCCTATGGTACTTGTATTATACCCATCTTCTTTTATCAAATTTAATTCTTTTGTCTAGTTATTGCATATACTTGCTTTGGAGATTTTATTCTCCATTTCTTTTTAAATCCTATGGAGGTAGAGTATATTCTTATATCATAGGGACAGTTATTTTTATTTGAATTGGACTTATGTTTTAGGTATAGCCAGCATGCTTCACTACATGCTCATGTAGTGAATATGTTTATGATATTTATTATATTCTCTTTTATTCTAAAATATTATATTCACTTTTATTGTAAAATAACTTGCTGTATAGGCTTTCTGTCTGGTGATTTAAACATCAGATGAATAATTGGCCTAGGTCACTGAATGCCCTTTAGACCTTGAGATCTATTATTCCTCAGCAAATTAAATTCAGCAAGAATGTCTTGAGTGCCATCGTAATTGTGTACATTATATAAGAAGAAAAGCTATCTACCTTAAGGAGCTTAGAATTTCATTGGTGAGATAATACCTGTAGATATGTAGTAGGTAACAGTTTAAAATTGTATGTGAACGACATATACTATATATGCCTGAGATGTTAAGTCAGAGAAAGAGACATCGTGGCAGATGTAAAATGAGGAAGAGCACATCTTGTCATCTTGTGTGGGGGAATATCATTAAAAAAAAGCCATCAAAGCAGGACAAAAGAGTACACATTGGCAGGAATGTCAGTAAAGAGACCACTAGCAGGAGACAGCTGTTTGGTCTTATTTTTTAAATGTGTTAAGTTATGAACTCTTGCAATTTTATCAACAGTAGCATTTCTTTTAGCAATTGCCAGCATGATGGTAGAATTGGTTGTCTAGATTGGGAAGTTTTACGTAACTAAGGTGTAATTATGTTTTAATGTTGCAGTACAGTAAAATTTTTTGTGGAAAAAATCCTCATCTGTATTGTGAGCTACATTTGTTTGAAAAACAGTATGAACAGAATAGCCATCTGAGATCTGCCTTTTTGGAGCAGCGAGGTGCTGGAGAAATTCTTTTCAGTTCTGTAGCTCTTATCTGTTTGAGTCTAGATTCTAGTCTTTTGTTCTTGTTTCACTTGTAAGGATCAAGGTCACAGTGAAGTTAAGACAGTCTTGCTGTGTCGGTATTGAAATCTGGACACAATGTTCCATGCTGTCTTCTAATTTTTATTCTGATGTTAGAACAGTAATTCAAAGTATATTAATTAGTTTTTGTTAATATTATTCAAATAAAATCAAATGTAACATGTATATACTCAAATAATAGTTTAAATAAATTTCCTACAAAGTGAAAAAGCAGCACTGTAATTTCTTTCCATTAACTGTGACCTAAACAAGTTATAGAATATCTACATAATTTGGTTTATTGTTGAACATGTATAGTCATCTGTAAGTATAAAATCCCAAATATTGACTTTTAGCGTGTTATAATTTTCAGTTGTTAAAATTATAGAACTGAATATTAATATTGCATCATTGTGTTTGAAATAGTATCAAACAAAAGCTGAAAACACAACTAAGCGACAGATAGTAGAAGCTTTATTTATATGTCTCCATTCAAATTTTCTAAAATCATTGCTTACAAAAATGCTTAGTAATCATGGTAAAATCTTTGCTACGTATACTCTCTTTTTGCACGAGCTTATTTTTGAGGCAAAAGTCAGACTCCTGACTGACTGTTCATTTAAAAGAACAGAAAAAATTCAAGAGCAGTAAAAGGAGAGAAGGAGACAGATAAATACAGCTTTGCTTGGGGACAAAATTGAATGTGAGTGTAAAATTTATACCATACCGTAGAACAGTTTTGAAATCTATCAGGTAAAATTTTAAATGTGCTTAATACTAGATAATCTTAAATAGTGCACTGAGTTATTTACAATATTTGAGGCCTGGAGAAACTTAGAACTTACAGGGTTTTTTCTGCTTTCTGATCACTCATTTTTGATCGCTGCAGGACTATTTTAATAGCTAATGCAACATTTTTCTCAGGTCTTCTAAAGGCCATAGTAAGAACCAGCTATGTGCATATAAGATGATTGAACCGATTATTGGAGGAAAAATTGAAGAAAGGAAATATAGTCTTAATATTAGACCAATATAAGACTTTTTTCTCCTTTTATTTCATTAATGAATATTTTATTCATCTCAAGATAGAATTTGGCCTATAAAACAAATACTATAGTATATACTTTGTCAGAAAAAATTTTAATGAATTTTCACAGCTTTCAGTGCTGTAAAAATAGCACATGTACTTCTGTGGTTGTTTTAGTGTCACTTTTTTTTTTTTTTCCATTTTTGGCAGATAAAATAACTCAAGAAGATATTGAAGGCATTTTACAGAAATTTACTGGGAATATAATGCAAGTACCTCCCCTGTAAGTTCAATTATTGAATTTCAATAAAAGTTTAGTTTTATTTTTTGAAGATTAACATCACTTTAATGAAAAAAAAATGTATGGAGAGGCAGATTTTAAATCTGACGTAGCAAATGTTCAAGTAAAAATGAGCCTGATTTGGACAGGATGCAGAGCTTCTCACACTCTCTAAGAGGTAGTGAGATGTGGTCCCCTCTGTCCTGGATATTGCCACAGCCTCACACCTGTGCTCTTCTGGTCTTTATCAGTTTTTCTGATTCCATCTCCAGACAGACATCAGGGTAGTTCTGGAACACAGAGATGTCGCTTTTCCCAGAATTGCTGTGAAGGGACTGGTTCAGTCTGGTACAAGTTGTAATTCAGAGTCCAGCTAGGACCAGAATCGTATGCTTCCCAATTCTCTGCAACAAATGAAAGTTACTGTTTATTAAAAGTATAAGAATATTGATTTACCCCTTACCCATGTTTTTTGTGCACATCACCATTTCAAACAAATCATCTTTTTCTTTTTCAATGGCTATAAGATGTGTCGGGGTAAGTTACTGACAGTTCTTTTAGAATTTAATATTTCTTTTGTATTAAAAGAATATATTTTTTTAAAACTGAAATAGCTATGGGGAAATGTTTCTTCATAATTTTGCCTCAAATGAAAAAATTTAAACACTTTAGCAGGATATGAATAAGCATTGTTTTAGATCATTATTTAAATAAACATCTTTATAAGAACCGTTATAGAATTTTCTTCTCTGTGATTGTTCTAAGGATTTTGTAGTCTAATAAAATTTTATCACACAAAGCTAAAATCTGATAGGTACATTATTTGCTTATTTGCTTTAGAGAAACAGTTTATAGTAACTTTTATATGAAAATGAATATTATTGGAATGGAAATTATTTCAAGGAAATGTAGCTGAGATCATTGTGACCAGAGGCCTCATGCCCCTAACCCAGAATGTGGGCTAGTGAAGGAAGACCAGAATAGACCATCTCTAGGAAGATGGTTAAAGAATAAAGCTGGTAAGGTTGCTTACTGGGTGTTTGATCTAGCTATATTATATTAGCCTCAAAGATACCTAGAGACTCTATTCTTGACACAATTGTGGAGTAGATTAAAAGAAAAAAAAAACTAGTTCATTTTTTAGAAGGATTTTTAATGGAAAAGGCTTCTAGTCATCCTTTCCCTGCTGTAGTATTATTCTCTCATTCTTTCTTAATTCTTCTCTCCCTCTCTTATCTTGTAAGCTATTCTGCATTAAAGAAGGATGGACAGAGACTTTCGACTTTGATGAAGAGAGGTGAAGCAGTAGAAGCAAAACCTGCCAGGCCAGTTACCGTATACAGTCTCTCCCTTCAAAAATTCCAGCCTCCATTTTTCACATTAGGTAAGATGGAGAAAATCAAAATCATTTGTATTTACATGTACCTTTATTTTGTATTTGGCTACTTTTGTGTAATTTTGATGGATCCCTAGGATATTGGAGAGTTTTAAATTTTTGAATTTAAGGAAGGTTAGGATTTGTTAATACCTTTTTGATAACACATTTAATGAGAAGACCTACAGCTGGAGTTTCAGAAATGCCTTTCTAAATAGGCTGAGTGTTTCATATGTTGTATTATATTATTTTACTATAAAGTTGTAAGTAACATGTCTTAGATCTCTACAAAAAAGAGTAGGTAAGGAGTATATATTTTCAGAATTTTACATTTTGTATTTTGTTATCTTATGAATACTTGTTCCCTTAATTTGGCTAGTATTTGATAGTTTATATTCAGTTTTATAATTCATATTAACTTGTTATTTTAAAACAAAGCATTTTTAGATTTTGGACAAGAAATCTAGGAGTGGAGTGATTTTTTTCTTTTTTCTTTGTTACCTACAAGTTCCTGCTAAAGATCATGAAAATATGGAAATAATGCATGAGGCAGAAATGTATTCTGCCAGGTTGTCAGTTTGAATTTATCTATAATCCACATTTGAACTAAATTTAAATACCAGAATGTTTGTTTTGATTGTTTAGAAATTTTATGATCTCCTTGTTGCAGAAAGTAGTAGCTGAAGCCCTGAACACATAAGAGCTGCAGTTATGAATTCTTAGGCCTCCCTTACACTCATCCTACTTTTAATTTCACGGTGCATACTAAATAAGATCCCTTTTAGAAATAATTTCCCCAAACCTTTTTTCTGAAACTTTGGTGCTTTGGCATATTATCTGATGTGTATTAAGTTCTTGTAGAATGTGGTTTTGTACAATTGAAAAAAGTCACTTTTTTCTTTAGTGTCTTGATTCTAAAATGTTTGACAAATATTAAGAAAAACATACCAAAAGATATTTTGTCCAATTCCATGAAAATGTAGCAGCTGGGTCGGCCCAGTAGATATTATCTATGAAAGTAAGAAAAACTCAACATTTTCTGATTGCACTTAAGCTTTAAGCACTTAATTTTGTTTACTGGAGGTTGTGATAGGCCAAAAGAGTTGTCTTTTCCCCAAAGTAAAATATAGTGCAAGAATGTTAGCACACCAGCCTTTGATTCTAGTGCTCATTTTTTTATCTCGACAGTGACCCCCATCCTCGAGCTTACAGAAAAAAAAAAAAAAAAAGAATTAAAATCTCCAGGTAGTCAGTTTTGATTAATTCCCTAAATGGCTTTATTTGTTTGATAAGACTAGAAACAGCTGGAATGTAGTCCTTTTGTGTGGAAATTCAGGATGTCTCTTGGATGAATAAAAATAATCCAGAATCCTGCTCTCAATCAACAAACTTGTGTTATACTGTATGAAGATGTTTAGATATGCATTCAGTTTGGGAACATTGTATATTTTCGTTATTTTATGTTTTCTTTAGGAATACTTCCAAGAGAACATTTAAGTATTCTGAGCTCTCTGCACAGCATATTACCCCAAACATAATTTCTGTCCCTCAAAAGGGTTGTTTGTTTGTTTGTTTGTTGTATTTGAGTGTACAAGTTTGAAAATATTTTTTAAAATCTACAGCTCATAACAAAGCTGAGATGTTGAACCACTTAAAACCTATTAAATGAACAAGGCGTAGATATCAGAAAATATTTTTTAAAATCTACAGCTCATGATAACTAAGATTAGATGTCTAACTATTTAAAACCTATTAAATGAACAAGGCTGAAGTATTAAAGTGGTGTGACTTGCCAGTTAATTTAAAATGTGTTCATGAGTTTCTGCTGTTTGCTTTCTCCACACTCTGACTTTTCAATCTCACAAACACATATGCTGCTGGATGAATAATTTATGTTTTAGCGCATAAATATTTTATCACTTGATTGTTTGCATAGTGCATTTTTACATTTGTTTAGAGGCATCATTTCTATGTAAAGTGGATTTCATAGGAGGTTAGCAATTTACCATGTCACTGTTAACATTCCAGATGTTGAATGTGGAGGAGGTTTTTATATCAGAAGCTTGGTCAGTGACATTGGCAAAGGTAAGCATAAAGATGAATTATGAATTATCATTTAGAGAGTAATATTCCTTTCTGATGGGAGTAGAGAATTTTCTATTTGTCATTTCTCTGCGTACAGGCTTTAGGAACTGTACTCTTGTTGCCTTCAGCTTCAGAAGCATTATAGGTTTATGGCTGACAATAATTATCAGCTTCAGCAGCTGCAGTGAAATGTTTGTAATGGGAGAGAAAGGAAAACAGAGGAACAGAAAACAAAGGTGGAAATAATAAATGTAAAGACCAACATTTTTTTCAAGTGCAAAATATTTTAACTCAAAGTAGGAATAAGAAAAAAGATTATCTAAAAGTTATTTTCATTGATACAAGTCAAATTTTTTAAAAACTAGAAGCCATAGTCTTACAAACAGCCAGAACGTTGCAGTTCTGTCTCCGACATTTGCTGCAGTTGTGACACTGGATAGGTCCAATTTCTTCATCTGCGAAGTGAGAGTAATAGTTGCCTCATGGGGTTGCTTCATGGGTGAAATAAGAAAAGTGTGTGCAGGTTCCTTATAGACTTGAAAGCAGTTTATAAGGTGAGTTATTAAATATTATTTTGCTATTTAATCATTTCTTAATCTCAAGGCTCTTGGTTCTCAGATTATTACCATTTTATATTTGGAGTGATTTTGAGAGGTATGAATTTAGTTCTGTCATTTGAAAAATTATAGACTATGAGATACTGAATCATTTATCTTATGGATTTTCTTTTCGCCTTTTGTTGCTGTAGAACTCTCTTCCTGTGCCAATGTACTAGAGCTGACCCGAACCAAACAAGGACCATTCACACTAGAAGAGCATGCCCTTCCTGAAGACAAATGGACAATTGATGACATTGCACAGTCTCTTGAGCATTGCTCATCTCTTCTCCCCGCGGAGTTGGCACTTAAAAAATCGAAACCTGAGGAGTCGAATGAACAAGTTTTGAGTTGTGAATATATAACTCTAGACGAGACAAAGGGAGAAGATGCTATAATTAAGACATGTTAAAACTGGGTCATCACATTTTGGTTGACATTTGAATCCTGTGTGCGGAATGACAAGCTGTGTCCAAAAGACAAACAACTATTCCTTTTTTTTTTTTTTTGGCATGAAGAAAAATGTCCATCATTTACAGTTTCTATACTGTACAATTTAACTGCCATACATTATAAATAGCCTTGAAGTTGTTCAGTTCTTTGCCGTCATATGGAATGTTCTTTTAGGATGTTATTATGTTGTTAGATTGGATTCAGGGAAATCAACTTTCTGATTTTGATATTTCTCCAAAGTTTTTCCTGTGAAAAAGTCGAACACATTTTCTCATTGAAGAAAAATATGAGCTACCTGTTTCTTTGGTGTCATAAAAGTGAATGTAAATTAGCGTTACTTTGACTTTATTTTGGCTTCTTGGTGGCTCTGTTGCATTGAAATTCTTTATGTTTGAAAAGGCCATTATTTTACCTTCTTATGTTTACGATTATTAACATTTCTTTGATAAGGCTGCATTTATATAGTAATAGCTGTGTTTGTTTAGATATTGGACACTAATAAACTTTTATAATAAATATTTGTAATTGAACCAAATTATTGCTGCTACCACTAACGGACGTAAATTGAAGACTAAATGTTTAAATTCACCTCTACCATTAGCACAAAGGACAATCCAATGGCTTATGTTTTGGCATATCTTTTCCTGATATTATTAACATAGTCAACCACCTCGTACGAAGTTACCAAATAACATAATTTTTTAACAGTAACCTAAAGAATGTATCTTCAATTAAAATTTTTTTCTCTATTCTTCACTGCTTGTTCATACCTTTTTATAGGACATTAATCCCCATGACATTGTTTTAGTTTGCTCTTTCAAATGATATTTATAAATGTTGAGATAGCTGCCCTGCATTTCCAGCTAATTTCTTCTGCTCTAAATATTTAAAAAACAGTTATTCTGAAACATTTTCGTTCAAATGGCCTACTGAAAGTTGTCTGTGTATCTCCAACATAATTTTGAAAGCATAGAAACATTACAAAATAGTAAATTTCATATGTAATGGATGCTTCATATTTTTGTTGTGGGAAAGCAATATATTATACTGCCATAGAAATGTTCAAGTCCTGCTATATTTATTCAATATAGTTTCAAAAGTAAGAATCATTAAAAATTTCATAAAATAGGAGTTTTTAAATTTTTTTTGGATTGCCCTTTTAAACACATGCCTACTAACAACCTCTAACTTGAAAAATGTAAATATGTAAACTAACATGATTTCATTTGTGGTAAACCTATTATAAAGTCAATATAAAAAAGTTACATGCTTCAGTAGAACACTGACAACATATTTTAAATGAAAATATTAAAACTAATTTTTAGTATGACAAAATTTTAAAGAAAAGAATTTGATGTCTTGAAGTATTAGCATAAAATATCAAAGACACAAAGTTGTAAATTCGAAGTTTACAATTTTACTTATTCACATCCAGTGCCCTGCAGTTTATGACAACCAAAAGTGGCCGTGGCCGTATCCGTCTGTTAGAATGGTACAGGTTAGAGATGTCTTCATGCATTGCCAGCTAAGGTCCAAAGAGGAATATTTAGGTTTTGGAGAACAACTGGGTCATTTTTGTTCTATTTTTTAAAAGTTGTCATGTATAATTTAATAATGCAGAAAAGATTATTCGAAAAGACAAGTACCTTTTTAAAATGGTATCCAGTCTTTTATATTGAAAACACTGAAGAAAGTTTTGCCAAATGGAAAAATTACTCATAATCCTCACCATCCTGATCCAGTGACTTCAGACCTTTAATTTTATATTACTCTTATTCCTTCTTTTGTTCATATATAATTAGTCTTAAGACACCTAAACTTTTTAATTGACTTTTTTCATTTCACCTGATGTACTTAGTTTTGATCATTATTATTTCAATCATAGTCATATTCAATTTATTTAAACCATTACCCTGTTGCTGAACACTTAAATTATTTAAATTTTATTAAGATAAATTCCTGGGAGTGGGTTTATTAAATAGAATAATATGAACAATTTTATGGTTCTTAATATTTGCCTTATTGCTTTCCCCAAGAGTTGTAACATTTTACTGTGTCACCATTTGAGTATTATCAGTTCAGTAAAAGTTTACAGCTTTGAGTCAGGGTTTTATAGTTGTCGCTGCTAATTTACTTAGTATAAGGGAGTTCGAAATTGCTCGAATTTGCTTTTGTGTGACTTTCGCATATACTCTGTTCATTTATATAAATGTCTTAATCGTTGCTTTAAACATTTGTATGAGTTACTTATGCAGTACATACTTGGTAGAAGTATTTTCATGGCCTGTTTTTTTATTTTAGTTTCATTTTTCATTTTTGGTAACTAAATTGGCTAATAATTCTTCACCTTTTATAGTTGTCAGATTTATGAGTATGAATAGTTCACATTTTTAACTTTAAAATATTAACTCTCCTAAGCAGCTTAAACTGATCAAGATGCTCTTAAAATTTCAAGACTCATGCAAAAACAAATTCGTTTTCTCCCAAGAGTTTAGTATTTAAGTACCGACTGTTTTTTTGTTTTTCATTTTAATCAAAATATTAAAGAAATATTTGTGCCTTATGCATTTCTAGGCCTAGAAACTAGGAAGTGACTTCTTTTGTGTCTGGGGCTCCCAAAATTTCTAAACCCTCATTCTTGGCCTTTAAGAATTTCTTATGGTATCATTTGTTTTCATCTCCATACTATGCCAGAGGTTAAAGAATTCCTGTTTTTTCTGAATTTATTTTACCTTGCAACCTCAGCTGATGGGCTCAAGAAATTATTCAGCTTTTTCTCATTCTTTGGGTGGGGCTGACATTCTCTGGAAGCTTTCTACTTTCTAAGTGGGAGCATCACCTTAAATAATGCTATAATATTTTTTCTCAGCATTTATAATTGTGAGGGTTTTGAGGTTATTTTGTCCACTGTTTCTGCTAGAAATGGAACTCTATTTCCAAAGAGTGGTGAGATAAAGTTAACTGACTTGCAACACCATAACGTTGTAGCTAATTTTATATCCTTAGAAAATAATCTGTTCTTCCATTGACTAATGGCAAAGCATTTAATAAATTTGCATTCATGTAGTCAGGGTGCTTTGACATTATTTAACTTTTAATTCCTCCATTATAGGTGAGAAAATTAAGGCATAGAAAAGTAACTTCCCAACTCCAAATTAATGCATTAGTAAGGATAGGCCTTAGAGGCCAGGTATCTTAAGTCATTAATAGTCTTTCAGCTTACACATTGGCTATATGACCTGAAGGTGATGACTAGGTGATTTTATTCCATATAATTTAAATGTATCAATTGTCAAAGAGTCATGAATGCCTTTGAGTGGGAAAACAAGTCTTGAAGATGTAGACCAGGCCTTTAAGTAGCTTTCACTTACTTCAGATGGAAACCAAAGAAATGTACATATAAAAAGATTAGGGCTGCAAGACAATACCTAAGTATCAGTGAGTGGTATTACCAAAAAGTGCAGGTGATGTTTAATGGAGCAATAATTAATTTCTACAAACACCTGTTGAGCTCCTGAGGATGGGGAGAGACAATACAGTGATCAGGACACCTGCATTGAGGAAGAGGGCCTTGAACCACAAATAATACTTAAAGAGTTACAGGAGAGCAGTTGGGGTGGGTGAGAAGAGTTCTAGCAAAGATGGCGGTGTACGAGGCACATTCAGTCAGGAAACGGGAGCACGGTCTGTTTGGAGAGGAACGTTCGTGTCAATATGTGGTTTGAAAGGCAGATTGGCATTATGTTGTTCAGAGCCTTGAAAGCCAGAATTAAGTAAAGCACAGAGGAGGGACCGTTCATGTGGAAGCTTTACTTTTCGGAGATGAATCTGGCAGTGGTATGTGGCAAGGACTGAAATAGAGGGCAGAAAGACCAGTTAGAACTGAGTCTGGTGCAATAATCGGGGATTGAGGGAATAAAAACTCTCTGAACTAGAGTATTATCAGATAATGGATGTTTAAATGGACAGTTTAAAGGAAAACATGATATTCAGTGATTTGTTAAGATAGTTGAGGGCCAGAGAATTGGAAGAAAAAATGATTAGCAATAGTCAGCAAATGGTTTTTCTTAAAGGTAATAAATCTGAGTTTTGGTATAAGAGTAGCATTTTGGGGGGCGTTAGGTAGTTTGAATTGTTAGTTACCTTTGGTAATGATGATCACCATGCTTATTCCTTTTTTGACAGCCTTGACTTCCTCCGTGACCAAACAGTGAGCCTCCCAGAAAGAATTACGCTTTTTCCCCTCTCTCCAAAGTGTCTGGCGTATAGTAGGTTTGTTGAATTTAATCTATGATTACGCACTCCCAATTATTATTCCAAATACTAAATCATGCCTGTGGTTCAGAGCATGGGCTGTGGAGTTATGGGTTTTCCAAGTTCTGCTTATCGTCAGCTATTAGCCTTAGGCAAGTTAATTTACTTTTTTGAGCCCCAGTTTCCTCATTTGTAAAATGGGGATATTAATAGTGTCACCATAAAATTATGAAGTCTAAATTAGGTCATTCAGGTAAAGTGTTTTAGCATGATTCTCAGAACTTAGTAAACAGAAGCAAATGCCACATACCTGATTTACATGTAAAAGAATAAATTCTCATGGTTTCTGGATTTAAGGTATATGTTTCAAAAATGCTTTATAAGAAATTGTTTTGGTAGGAAGAATTGAGCTTAAAGGATTTCCTGACAGCAAAGATTATCAAATAGTGCAATAGACTATTGATTACGTATAGAAAAAATCTTGAAAATATTGATGTTTACCTTTTGTGTTTTAAGTGTACTAGCGTGTACTAAGTACACACGCATGCATACACACATATACACCACTAAAGTTAGTAAGCCCCCTTTCATGGACCCCCCCTTAACCCACCAACAATCCTGTGAAGTAGGAATGATCAGTCTGTATCTGTTATTTTAGTGAAGATCTTGAAGTGGCACTGAGTACTAGGTGACTTGCCAAGAGTCACATAGCTAGAGTGGCAGAGTTAGATCTCTGATTCCAAAATGTTGTTTATATTACATCTGGCAATCTGAAGAACAGATGTTTAGTGGGAGGAATGAAACACATGCTGTAATGCCAAAAAATAACTGGAAATAAAAGCAGAAAACAAGACATTTGTTTCTGTTATAATATGACAGAAAACAAGGCTCTTGTGGTTTGGGATTGAGCATTCAGAGGAGAGACGGGGACTGGTTCGATTTGGGTGAGACTACTCTTAGAACACAGCATCTGGTTCTGGCTACTCATTACTGGGCTTATGGAAATCAGCTGGATGAGGTTCAAAGAAAAGCTCCAAAATGATTAAGGGGCTGACAGCATTGATTAGTAAGGAACGACTAAAAGAATTAAATATGTAAAGCTCAGCTAAGCAAAAACGAAGGAAAAACAAGCTAAATGTATACAAATATCTGAAATGTGTAAACATTACAAAGGGAGATCAATTATTTAGCATGATGCATGGTATAATATGTAGTAATAGAATGAAAATTTAAGCAGAGTATAAAGAAAATTTTCCCGATAATCAATAAAGGCCATCCTTGGCATAGAGCCCTTCCCTAAAGAAGCAGGAGAAATGTCGAGCATTATGACTTCTAAAACTTCCCTGAGATCTAGAAATTAGATGATGTTAGAGAATTATTATTAATTTGGTTGGGTGTGATAATGATATTGTGGCTCTATAAGAAAATGTCATTTTTTAGAGTTACTGTGGAATAAAGGGGTTGAATAACATGATGTAAGAGATTCGCTTAAAAATACTACAGCAAGGAAAGGAGGGAGGACAGAAGAAAAAGGAAGGGTGGGAAAGAGGAAAAAGAAAGGGAAGGAAGGAAGTGAGGGAGGGAGGAAGAATGAAAGAAAAGCATAGATGAAGCAAGTGTGGCGAAATGTCGATAATGTTGAATCTGAAAATAAGGTAATATGTGAGTGCATTTTACTCTTTTTACTTTTACATATGTTTGAAACTTTCATAATAAAACAATTAAATGATATTTTCCCAAACAAAGCTCAGCAGTGTTTTAACCCCTGGCCTTCCTGAATAGAAAAGCATTACTGCCACACAGGCAGACTTCTGGTTGACCAGGACCCATGACGGTAGGGATCAATGTCTCTATTCACCATCTTGCCCTAGTAA